TTGTGCACGACCCATTGCGGACTCCCCAAATGCTTGCTTTAGCATTTCATAGGTTTCCGTAGCCGTTTTGGCAAGTCTTTGGCAAAATTTGATGCACACGCCATTCCGAAATCGCAGGAGGGCCGGTGTAATGCACTACCAAAACGCCCGTAACTAAGAAACAAATGCTAATTCGATGATGCCGGCTGGCACACTGATTCACTAAGAATGTAGGCCGCACCCTCTAGCGGCAGAAGCTCGTACTACATCCGGTTCGCCCGCTATTGACACAGTCTGGAAACTTTCCGATCGCACCTCGTACTTATCACCCTAAACATGGAAGCAGCAAGTACCTCTGAAATGACAGTAAATGTCTACCAGACATCATCATGCTACAACCCAGAAGACAGCCATGTTCATACTTTTTGCTGTGAGAACCTAAAATCCTGTTGCCAGTTAACTTCATCGCCCTTATGACGGAGGCAGTATGACCTCTGAAACGTTGGTTAACATCGACCAGACTACACAGCGCAACAACCCAGAAGACGGAAATCTTCAACTTCTCACTCCCTTATACTTAATCCAGAAGCAATGCTATCACTGAATGAATATGCATGAAACAAAGGATGACTTACACACATTAAAAACACAGTGATCTGTATTAAAGATGCTGTAAACTGTCCTACTGAAGTATTTTGATTTGTGATTACAAGACAACCCCACAATTCAGACACTAAATCAGTGGCAAGTGCTCTTCTTACACTCAGATAAATATGTTGTGTTCATGCAAATCAAACAATATATAACATGAACAACAATCAGCTTACCTTTGGATTTAAATTCCCCAGGTACAGATTTGTAGTTGTTGGATCTCCATTGTCATATGAACCGTATTTGGACTCTTCTGCTGCTTACAGAAATAAATCTTCATAATGATATAATTTTGACACCAGTCAATTACATACCTATTAAGAAATTATTGTAATACCGCCACCTTTCTGAAGAAAGCGATAAAAGTCTTGAAACACGACAATCTTTTAATATGTAACAAAAAGTTAGGCTGTAACTATGGTCGTTGATAGAACTTAAACTTACATGTCTTTACAGCTGGCACTCCATCTTCTAATGTAGATTTGACAGCACCTTTATATTTATGCCTCTCCTCTCTCTCTTCCTGAATACTAAAACATAAAACAAGGTGATCTCTAAACCCTTATCATAATTTACCTTTTTCATATACAGGTAAACCTCGATTCGCGCCGCTTCAATTTGCGCCGATTCAGAATAACGCCGCTTTTGAAACCAGCAAGTCAAAGAGTGAAAAAAACATATTTTACTAATATTTATAACGTTTTACAATGTTTCTCGTACTGATTCTTATACTAAATCATAATTCTTACACTCATAGCTAAGTAGGTGTGAGATAATCTCTAAAAATCCGCCAACATTGCGCAACAGTCACGTGAGCATTGGTCACTCTTCACGGTGAGTCATTTGCGTTCAGCCTGATGAGGGAGTAAGGAAAAATGCGCTCAGTTCGCTTCTTGTTGACACATTGAATGTGCTGAAAACTGTGCGCTAAACGTGTTTGTGTTGTTCGACCACTATTCTGCAGTAGCAACTGTTTTATATTTATAAATTGTAGAAGAGCCACCATGTCTGGTAAAAGAAGTGAATGTGTTGCTAAAAAGTTGCGTAGGTCAAACACGTTACAAGATACGTAATTCGTAGAGTAGAAGGTGGTGATACCCGTCGTAATGTGTGCAGAAGTATGAAGTTGCCTCCTTCCACTGTGACTACCATAATGAAAAATTCATATAAAATAAAACAGTCAATGCAACAGGCTACGAGAGTAAGTGCAACGCAAGTGAGTTATAGCAGAAGTAAACTTTTAGAAAGAATGGAGAAATTATTATTGCTATGGGTGATCGAAAAAATATTCCCTTGACTGAAATTGCTATCACGGATAAGGCGAAGTCGATTTTTGAGGAACTTAAGTCGTCGATGTCCGGGTGCCGGGAACGCATGTCATTGACTTCCCATTGATTTATATTATAAAAAGTGTTTCAATTTACGCCGGTTCGTCCAGGAACGCATCCCCGGCGTAAATCGAGGTTTACCTGTATAAGTTTAACTCACAAGAGAAACAGGTTCCCCTTCTACCTCTGACTCCTAGTTAACTTTTAAGAAAATAGAATTAAAATGAAAGAAAAATCATAATTCCTACACTAATCCACATACCTTGCTGGGTAAGAATGGAGAATTATTCATGAAACATGAAGTACTATTATGTTTATACTACACTGTGGCCAATATGTTGTCATTACAACAGAAACATGGTATATGTAGTTACTAGACGAGATGGACTGATTAAAAATGGCACACTTCTAAAATAAAAAAATTGTTGAAGTCAATTGTATATATGAATGCAATATAACAATGAAGACAGCACAGCAGTAATTCCCAAAGATGCAGAGTTCTGGCAATGAGTTATGAAGCTGCTCCACCTTTTCAGAATTCAAAATGAGGAAACACCTAGTTTTATGTCCAGATTACAATTTCAATGACTAAATTGAAGAATTGTACATTAAAAGAAAATAACAATATAAGCCAAGTGTTAGGCATAATCTTGCTATGTCTGGAAACTGCAAAAGGACCTCAAAATGGCTAGTTCACAGTACCGCATTTCAAAGTTTGTTCCTTAGAAATGCCAGATGTATTATTGATATGTCTACCTTCTCAGTTACCAACATGATTTAATAAGCTATTTTCAAAGCTGAATGGCTAAAACTAATGTTATTCCAAATCACACACATAAAAAGTGTGTTACATATTACAAGAACTAAACAAGAGAAAAAGTTACTTACAGTTTTAGCTCTTCCTTGAACAGTTCCAAATTGCTCTTCTTTTTCTCTCTGTCTCGTTTCTTTCCAGGACGATCTGGTTTCCTGTCACCAAGCAGCCGCGCATATTCCTGTGCTCGCTCTGCAGTTGTGAGTTTGTCTGCCAGTTCTGAGAGCCGAGACTGTGGCTTGTAGAGTTTTCCCTTTTCCCTTGTGTCCTCCTCTATAACATATAGCACAGTGAATAAGTTCTCAAACATAAATTATAAACTCAGTTCTAAAAAACATTTCAATATATAAAAACCTTAAATTAATATGAAAAAAACTTCAATAATTCCATGTTTTCAAGAAAAAGAAACCTCAAGACTGTGACAGAACTTGGTAACACTTTTTCTCATTACTTCAGTCTCCTGAACATATCTGGTAGATGCATTTGAAACTCACTGTTCTTTTTATGATATACTTACGTCGACGTCCAGCATCATACGTGCCAGCCTTAACCCACACCTTTCCAGCCTTACTGGGTGTTTCTTGGAATGTTGCCACAAATTCTTCAAAAGCCTAAATAAAAAGACAATTCATACATTACATAACAGCACTGTCTGCACTTTCAAAATATCAATTATTGGGGCGTAATAATTGAAGAGGTACGAGAAGTGAATTTCTTGCCAAACGTCTTGGTATCAAGATTGGTCAAATCCACGTTTCATAACAATTCTTATCCTTCAGCCTTTTCAAAAGTCAATGTAGATAATAAAAGACAAGGTTCTGGTCCACTAAGTAGTTGCTACCCACAACCATGAATTAAGCAAATTTCTGCCTTGTGCTTGCTCCACCTCATAAGTGGACTTCTTCACCCTTAACAAATAGGGTAAGGCAAGAAAGATTAGAAAAAACTGTAACAAGCACAAACTTCATCATTTCATTTCATTTCGTTTCATTCTCGAAACGAACCTGGGCAGCTGCTTCCTCTTGCTCCTTCTTACGTTGCTCTTCCATTTCTTTTTTAGACATCTGCCGCTTCCCCATCGTGCCGATGGAGAATGCCTTTAGCTTCTGTTCGGCTATTTGCTGCATTGTAAAACACAAAAACGAATCAAAATATCATTACTCTTTAGGAAGAACACTAATTCAACGAGACTCAATGCACTTTTGTGGTCGAATAACGCAAATATAACACAGAATTTATAAACTGTGTTTACGGTTTTTATAGTCCTATTTCTCCTTTGTTGATACACCACTACACTAGCAAACTGCTGTAAAGTAAACTAAAATGTAGTATCACGCACCTTCATCAAAGCTTTATCCGCCATTTTCTTTCGGTACAGTAGTCAATGTAACCAACCATGTTAAAATAATTTAAATTGAATGAGAAATTTCCCTCGATGTACTCACCGACAGAAAAGTAAATAATTAAAATAAAAAGCGCGCATTGTAAATATGAAACAATAATTGTCACTAATTGATTTGCTACAAATACTTTTAAGATAAAAAACGTTAGGTTCATATTGAAATTTTCCAATTCAGAGACTATGGCCATGTCACCTACTTTCCAGTATAATTTTAACCACAGAAAACAATCTTAATTCATTAAATGTAAACTCGAAGATATGGAAAGTAATGAACAAATACCGAAACCATTAGAATTATGTATGATTCTAATTATTTTCCTTTTGTATCTTTGTGTGCCTGCAGAACCTTTGGGAGAAATTACTTAGAGACCACTCTGAAAGCTAAGAAGAGTATGGGTATGATGATAATACAATGGGCATTAGGTAACGGGTAATGCTGCTGAAACTATCTTCTTATCAAGTTCAATATTTGGTTCTGGTCCTGTGGTATTGGGAGCACTGAAAACAAAAAGAGGAAGTAACCAGAGGAGAGGAAAAGCCTTATAGTTTGTACTCTTCACATAATGGTGTTAGGGCAATGAGAAGGGGATGTATTATTAATGGGCAAAATGAAAAATGAATAGTCCCATGTGTTGGTTGGAAAATCCAAAGTAAAGAGAAAATGTGCAAAACCCAAAAGAGTATTTGGGGAAAACAATGTTTAAATAACTGACAGTGGAACCATGGTTCCGGAGAATCTGACGTAAATACGTCTTTGTATTTAAATTATCATCATCGGACTCTTTTAGCTTCAATGTTATCTCTACATAGTATGACTTTAACACACAACGCAGCAGTAGCGTGAAGTGCGATGCGCCTTCATTTGTATAAATAAATGTTTGTAGAACCTAAACCATTTGTGATATGTAAAATCTGAAAACAGATATGGAAAGCTCAAGAGGTAATACGTATTTCGTACGCAATATGTCCCGATCCATCTCTTACGGTTTTCGAGAGGCGGACGCTTAACGCGCCATATGCATTGAAAATTGTACACATTGGTTCATTAAAATAATAATAAATGTATAAACAGTTATAATTACAACAAAATACATTACAGATTCTTAAAGGTCCTTATTTACAGATCATTTTACATATAGGTTACATTACAGTTACTATTTATGAGGAATGAACGTTTAAAGGTTACTTGGCCTTGGATCCTACACATCTCCTTAATCAACGTTGTTTTTGCCGAATGACCCTTCCGTATAGACGTATTTACGTCAAAAATTGGATTATTGAGAAATAGGGCATGAAAGTATGGACTGGATTGAATGGTCTTAGGGTCTGTAACACAGGAAATTTCTTCACCATCTGACAAAATACAAATTTTTCCAAGGAAGATCTTGTTCCATGAAGATAGCTTTCTGCAGTTTTGCATCCCTCATTTGTTTTGATGCTCATTTATTGCAGATATAAATGTATTGTTCACAGAGCTAATCAATGGTAGATACTATATGGCATGAAAGTAATAAATAGTATTTTTGACAAATGAAAGGAACAGTACAAATAAAACATTTCTGATGCACATTTTTAACCATACTTTATTAAACACTAGCTAAAATAATCCTTATTTGCCAGGGATTTTCCTGAAATAAACTATACTGAAATTGCTTATTTCTTATGTCATACACATCTAATAAACCCATACTTAATCTTCTAAATCAGGCATTCTCAGCCCACCAATGTTTTTTGAAGCCTGAATTTATTATTTGCAATATTGGGTCATTCTGTATGATGACAAACATATACCTGATATCAGAAAACATTTTTTGTTAGAGTCAACAATATTTGGCAGTCCCTGTCACTGGGCAGCTTAATTAAAAACATCAAATCTAGAAATTATACGCATCTTATAATGAACTCTTAGTGGGATGCATGCAAATTACAATAAAAATTTGAACCTGATATTGAAAAATTACTCAAGCAAGAGCAGAATCAAATATCTCACTAAAGACTGATTTTTCCGCTAGATGTCGATATATAACCACAAATTACGGTGCAACAATCTTGAAGACCGTTTTCCTTTGGACCAAGCCTAAGTCTCAAGGAAAAGCCTATATAAAATCTCAAACGTTCTGCAGACTGTAATATTCAGCTGACAAATTAACTTCTTATAACACTATCTGTAAGGGTAGTCCAAATATTTTAGGAGGGACACTGTTACCTCCCCACAGACTTCCTGAACCTCTGACATACACTGACGAAATTTCTTAACCTTTATTTAGTGGCACAGGGGATTTAAACCCCTGTATTACGAACTACTGGGCTGCTGGTTCAAATTAATGCAGGGGATTTAAACCCCTGTATTATTAACTACTGGGCTGCTGGTTCAAATTAATTGCTACAGTTAACAGTTTGGTGGTATGCTAGTGCTGGATTACATGTAAGCTGGCTGCATACTGAAATTACCAACATTTTAAATGGTATACAGTTTCAATTTAAATTTGTTTACAAAAGAGTATAAATCTGGAATGAATTCCTTTACATTTATTGATAAATGCATGTTGATCTGGGTATTAACATGGTAGCAAAATTACACAGATTAATACAATACATATAAACACAACAAATATGCTTCATGAATGTATTGTCAGTACAACCATAATGTAGTAATTCATACTTCTCTATGCAAATATAAAAGATTTTAACATCATGGATTACTTCTGAAATTTTCAAATGTGTTAATTTAAAAGAATACTGACAAGATATACAAAACTTGAGAAAAGTTTTACATTTGACACTCTTCAATTTTAATACTCATTCTATTGCATGTGCTACTTGTAATATTCTACCACATAAACATTCTCATTTTGTTCATGTGAACATTATTGGTGCTTACAGACTTCACTATTAAGTACCAACACACAATGTGTTTCAGCTATTTGTAATATCACAATAAATTAAACTGCAAAAATTTAACACAAACTACAGAATCAAAAAGGTTAGGATACATAATAAATAACAGTTCCTACTTCTATGTTAACTTCACCTCTACCACCAAAGGTCACAATAAATTGTTTAGTACTCCTTGTTTTATATTCCAAGGTCTCGGATTGAAAATCAGGAATTTCAGTAGAGGTTTTATCAGTGATTTGGTTTCCATTCCTGTTCTCAGGAGTGTTTATATTTGTAATTAAATCCAGGCCACATGACAGTGGGGAACATTGTGATCTGATTGGTGGATGTGTAATTAACAGGAAAGCAGATTAGAACTTTGGTCTTTTTCAGGGCTAGTTTTATAAATTTTCTCATGAAGCAGTAAGGAAGATGAATTAGAAAGAGGAAATAACTTTATCAGGGCCATTTTGTCTGAAAAAAAAACGGCGTCATAACGAACATTCACAAGTTCTTTAGATAAGAGTAGCGTATTAAATGGAACAAAGATAACACAACCTCCATGTCCGACATATTGAACGAAATGAATGGAGCACACACGAGCACAGTCGAGCCGAGCGTTCAAAACGAGCATTCGATGCGCCTCACCAGTTGTGGTGTAATGTAACATGCTCGCCGTGAATGTTACATTACGAGTAAATGTTACAAGTCAGTCGCCACCTTAACATCAAGCCACTTCTGCTGAAAGACAGCCAGGTCCTCTGAAATGTTGGCAAACCAACTCAACACAACATGACACCATAACTGAAAAATGGGATAAAGATTAGCAACAAACTGCAATGGAAGTCTGACAACTTATATATTTTATCAACTGGTGTAAAAACAGAATTATAATGTGTAGCAGATAAATACATGTTTGAAACCTACAGCAAAGTTGTACAAACAAGTTACATTACGTTGCTACAATGGAAGTTTGGAACTACTGCTCAGTGATGTTGGTACTTTCAAATGAACTGTAATAGCACTAGTACATACGAAGTAAACTCAAATTTACAAATTCTGAGTTAAAGTCTATTATATGCACAATATGACACGATGATTAAATATATGTTAAAGATAAAAATAGTATTCAAAAATTCATGGTCACTTGATTTTAGGTACCACCGTAAAGTTTCAAAAAGTTTGAAAACCTAAATGGAGATGAAAAAAGTATTTGTTAACAGTCTTCTATTTTCTTCATTATAATTCCATCTAAGGTTCATCTGCATATAATTATTATTGGAAAACTGGTTTGTAAAAGCTATTGTCAATCATTTTTATTCTTTGGTTATTTAAGTATTTTGTGTCTCTTCTGTATTTGAAGTCAGGAATGGCTCTCTGGAAGCACTTAGCACTTAAAGAAATAATAACACTAAATACAAAAATTGATATTTTTATAAATTCTGTTTTTTAACTGCAATTTCAAATTTATTTTTTATATAAAATGCAACTTTCTGAAACTAGCAAAAAGTGGAACTTTTAACAAGTCTTGGGGTACCAACAGTAATCCATATACAAACAATGGAAAATAAAGTAAACTACACAAAAGTATTCATTTAGGAGCCTTTTTGGCACCCCAATGCTTTTGTCTGTTTAACACAGTGCAACCCTCAAAGAATACGCAGTGAATACAGGACACCATGGAAACCCCAAATACTGACTTGAAAACTAACATAACATAAATTAATCTGCAAATAAATTTATATTTAACAAAATATATAAATGCATTAAGTAATGACTAAGAATATTCATTTAAACTTGCTAATACAATTACAGATACCTATAAATAAATAGTACACCATTAGAAAAATTGCAGACTGTGCAACAAAAGTCAAGCGCTTAAAATTTCCTAAGTTTGAAACCATACGTGATGCAAGTACGAAGCTGGAATTATAATTCCAATCATATGTATCTCCTTGTTTTTGTCTGTATGTGGCTATTCTGTACTTTCCATAAATTACAAATGAGATCTGTGGATGAAGCTCAGGGATTCTGGTCATCTTATTAATGATGCCAGGTCTTGAAAACAATCCTTTTAAGGGCTAACACACTAATACATATTTTGAAAAGTAATTGGTATACTTTACAAAATAAAAAATTCTTATAAAGTATGTATTTTTTTGCAAATGAGATTGTCTATCTACAGGCTGATTCAAACTAGAAATGTCAATGACCAACAAATCACAAAAAGTAAAAGAAGACTTGTTTCCATCAAACTTCTAGCTTCACTAATTTCAGTAAAAATAATACAGTGATAACACAAATGATAATATCGACGATTACTTTTTTGCTTGTTAACAATAAGTTACTGGACTACATATGTTTCAAATGATTACTTTTTGATTGTTAACAATAATAAGTTACTGGACTACATATGTTTCACAGACAAACAATAGTATCATGTTCTGTTTTGAATATCACAATCAGTGTATTGTGGTTTCCATTTCCAGTTGCTCTTGGGATAAGTTCCACATGGAAACTTTAAAACATAGTTGAATAACATAAAACTACAATTTAAATGTAAATACAGCAAATGCATTTAAAAAATGCTGACATGAGCACTCAAATTTTCAAATGTAACCTTAGCATCAATGCTAGTCTCGTGCACTAAAATTTTCAAACGTAACCTTAGCATCAATGCTAGTCTCGTACCCTAGCAACTTGCCTACCAGCAACCGAACAAACCAAAGTATAGTCTTCACCCTTATTTTACCATGGGATGCAGTCCTGTGACTCAGAAACGTCATTCAATTTAATGTTTTTCATCAGATTAGGCACACACATTGGTGTCTTTATTTAACAGATACGTGGCATACATAACTGTAAGTAATAGTAGAAAGAAATGCCTCATACAGGCAAATACAAGGAGGCTGCAAATGATTTGAACTGTGACATAAGCTGAATTATTATATCACTACTAGTTTTAAACTATGAAAATTTACGCACTTAATTTTTGTTGCACACAGTGCACAAGCAAAAGAAGCACAAGTAGCTGGTTATGACACTATAAAGATATACTGAAATTTGTTAAAGCAGATAGACATAGAAAAGTTAGAATATGTATCATGTATTTTAAGTATTTCCTTCACAACACTGTACTCCACTTTGCATCTTTTGTCTCCAAGAATCTGGTCCAGACAACCATATCGGGCTCCTAATCCAAATTACATAACAATAATGTAGCTACAAATATACAGAGTCCACAAAATGTCACAGATTCAGATGTACACATTACATGGTTATAATACTTTTACTTTAATTTCATCAATGTTCTTCATTCAAAACTAATATAAAAGTACTGCCAACACAACTAGTTGAGACATAATACAACTGTGTATTTTTTAAACAGCAGTAATAAAAGTAACATAAACACGAAAATATTGTTTACAGGCAAGAAAACTTTTTATAAAAAACAACATTATTTGATACTGGGAAAAATCTACTATTGATGATCTACATGTATGCATATAAAAACTATTGGGAAACAATTATATTCTTCTGACTAGGATGGCATATTTTTCTTGTCCTTTTTTCAGAAACAAGATGTTAAAAACAAGAGGCACTACATACGAGGCGCGTCCACAAAGTAAGTTTCCCACTCGTCCCACAGCTAGCAAACCTTATATTGCGCGAAGCGACTGTGCGTACGTGATAGAGCAATGACGTAGCATGGCGCATGCACTAACGGCACTTCCCGCGTTCTCACAGTAGCATCGTTGCAGCTGTTGAAGATGGAGGTTCTTATTCCAGCTCCCGCCGACTGTGAAGTGCGGTCAGTGATAACGCTAGGCCGCACACGGCTCGACGGACAGCAAGTCTCCTGCAGAAGTTCAGCTGGGAGGTGTTTAATCATCCACCCTACAGCCCGGACCTCGCTCCCAGTGATTTCCATCTTTTCCTACACCTCAAGAAATTCCTGTCCGGTCAGCGTCAGCGTCAGCGTTTTGAGAATGACAGAGAGGCGGAGATGGCTGTCACACAGTGGTTCCAATCCCAGGCGGCAGACTTCTACGACACAGGTATTAAAAGTTGGTCCCACGGTATGACAAATGTCTCAATTCCGGTGGCGAATATGTTGAAAAATAGCTGGACACTTGCTGTATCTGTTGCAATAAATATTTCCATGAAATTGTGTTTTGTTTCTGTAAACGGCCCCAGGGAAACTTACTTTGTAGACGCGCCTCGTATAACAAACAATTTTTATACTGAGACTTGCATTTACAGATTAAATTCCTTATTTTATAAAGGAAAGACAGACAAAAGCTATCACATTCATGTACCTACCCTTCCTCTGTAATAATATTTGAAACACTTAAGGGTTTTCATGAAAATCATGCCACGTGTAAAACATGACAGCTGCACAAAAAATCTAAATTTAGCTGCCAGTCTTTCAAAATTTCGGACTTTCATACATCTGATATAATAAAGAAAAATAATCTTCTGAGGATAGTTTTGTGTACTCATATTGACAGAGTGATGATGCTTTTAGACAAAAGAGATCTATAGCTTAATACGGACTGTGAATCATGGCAAGACCTTCTACTGCATGTATTAAGAAAGTTTTGACTTTGCCACAGAAAAGAGGTACGGTTAACAACAATTTACTAAGTTGGTTGCAAATATGATGCAAAAAACTGTATTTTGAAACACAAATTTAAAATATATACAATACACCTCAACATCTGGCTTTGTACTTCCTGCAGATCCATCTGTTACTGTAATTCAGAAATACACAAATTCACTTGTTACAAAAAAAGTGGGGGTGAAATATGAACTTGATCCTTGATTCACGAAGTACTACACAACACAATCATAATGACTGCAATAATGATTTCATCACCAACATTTAAAATTACTCGTATTGTGTTCAGAACATTACTGATCGACATATGTGAACATAAAATTGCACCAACGGACTGTAACCAAAACACTGCTTCCCTGATACAAATGCTGACGTTGAAGACCTTGCACAATACCACAGTATGTAATTACAAAGCAACTGAACTTGAGGTGATAGGCAGTAGGATGCATACCCAGCCTGTTTTACCTCACTGCCAACATTACCTAATGTGCCAGTTACACAAATGAATCTTGACAGAGTAATGACACTACGTAATACCAGATCACGTAATGGTGGTATATCTGTAGTGGAATAAATTGCATTACAAAAATTCAAATCCTCCTTTCTCACATCAGAATACTATACATGGTTTATTCACATTCAGTACTCCCCTTCCATCAATGCCTTTAGCTCAAATAAAATAATACAGTAGATGACGGCACAATACTCTGACAACAACACACGATGGCGAAGAATTCGGGTTACTTGGGTAATATATTAAGAATGACAATGAGCATGAATATTTGATAATGCTGCTATTCTGGGTTGTGATGCCACGTGGACTCGTAGGCATACATGTTTTGGAAAAAACAAAATTGTCAACTTCACTGCCTTGAGAACTTCATACAACATAAATACTTGTTTGCTGATTATTCCATAACAGGAAATTGGAAGGATTAAGGTGGCTTATGTTTAATTGTTAAACTTGATTGATCTGTAGGATATACTGAACATTATAAATAATCAAAGCAGTAAAGATGAAATGTTAGTCAATCAGTATTATATTTGTTAACACTGTGAAGACAACAGCAAAAGACTCCTAGTTTCAGATTGTCTCTTCAGTGAGAAAGTTCTCCGTGTGAGCAAAGTATCAGCTTTACAGTTTCTTTGTAAGCTCTTCCTCTCTCCTTTTCCTTCCAACAATTTTACTGCCAGTGAGACAAATCATTCCAGATTTTCCATGATCTGATATATTTGATACTTTGAAGCTGGTTTTCTAGTACATGTAATTTATATACATATATTAAAACATGGCCAAATGACTCATACAAATTGTAACCATCTTAGAAGAAAAAAATATATATTAAAAATGGCATTATCATAACTGATAGACTAATTTTCAATATTCAATATTATCTCTGTATAGTGGGCACAGACACCCCTCTTGCATAAATCAATTTTGATGAAACAGCCTGACAATTCTTGAGTAATCTGTGGCACTAGGCCCTGGAGTAAGGGAGTTAATTTACTTCAGTAACAACATTTATATACAAATAACAGTACTAATCAATAAAGAAAAATATCTACAGGAATCAAAAATACATTCTCTCTTTTTCATGACAAATATAACAAACTGAAATTTGCATAAAGCATTTGGTTTTCTAGAACATTTTGTCCTGCAATTCTTCAGTAAATCACCTATCCTCATTAATTTTGTTACACATACATAATTATAACAGCCACAAGTTCATAACACAATTGCATATCATTATCGCAATTACTTTCACTCAGCAAGCTACACAATGCCACCATCCGACAATTCAAAATAACCAGATGTGGATGAATGTTTCTCAGGTATAAAAGCCAACATACCTCTACGCTGCATTCATTCCGAAGGCAATGCAACACTGGACTTTCTGCCATCTTGGCTACTGACTGATTGTGAGCTTCGGAGAGATTTCCTACCAAATGTTTCCAGGTATGCACATGGGGCCCAACCCTCTAAATGTGAACCTAAAATAAACCACATACATTCAATTGAATAAAAATTTACTTGGATATTATCCATCGTCTAGTAATAAAACGTAAAAAATGTAAAACGACGTTTCGGAGATGGGGCTCTATCTCCGTCTTCAGGTTCCTACTCAGTTGGGCCCACTAGATAGAGCTAATCCCCATCTCCGAAACGTCATTTTACGTTTTTTACGTTTTATTACTAGACGATGGATAATATCCAAGTACATTTTTATTCAATTGACTCTTCACCATCGTCAAGAAGTTTTAGATTTGATACACATACATTCACATTGCAAATATAAAGTTATCAAACGAACATTCATGTGAAGCGAATAGTACTCCTGCTTTGTGCATGAAGAAGTCCCAGGTTTGAATATAGGCTACTGTAACCAAGGTTTCTCATTGTTTTATTCAGTATCTCATAACCAATGCTGAGACAGAACCTCATACCAAGCAAACACTACTTCATTCATGTCTTTCACAATTTATCACTCATAATTATCCTCAAATTTAATGCTATACGACTCATGCAGTTTACAGAGTCTCATTAAACAATCCAATAAATCAAGACATTACATGGGAAATTTATTAAATCAAATTTCTAAGATATTGTAGGTGCGTCATATTGTGATTTATTTAAATAGTATTAAAAATATATTAAAAGTGGCCGTCAATCACAATATAAGATATTTAAAGGATTAAAATATCATTTTTCGTTCCTTATCGAGTACTCGATTTACATGTGGAACATTTACGACATGTTTCGGCTATCATAGAGCCGTCATCAGGTGTTATGTTATAAACTTTTTAACTGAATTACTGATTTTTAATGATTTTTAGTGTTCATTTTTCTTATCATTTTCTCGTCCTTCATATTGTATCTTCATCCGTTGTTGTGTCACAAGTCACTAATATAATTGTATGTCATAGTGATGCCAATGTTGTGTATATTGGACCGAGAAGTAATATCGTAGCAGTATTAGGAGAGATTGGAGGTATACTGTATCGGATCGTGGCTGGTTATATTTTTAATACTATTTTTAAACCAAATTTCCTTTAAACTTCTGCCATACATAATGTAGTACACAGTAAGATATGTTTTTCCTGTCATGTTAAGTGTACCGAGAATATCAGGATACGGTAAATACCAACTGAAGTGTAGAGGGTTAAGCTCCTTCATATCTAAATAAAAGCTGAGACAAGAACGTCGGTCACTATCTACCAGACTACGAGGTACAAACATCCCAGAAGAAGCCATCTTCACCCTCAGTCTCTTTCAGTCTTAAAGATGAGATGAGCAAGAATTGACTCATAGAATACATTACCACAATTTACTATCTTAATTCCAAGGTAAAATTGTTATTGGCCATCAAATGAGAAAAAAACAGACTTACTTACCAATAACTTTGACATACCACCAACCAGCACAGCCAACCTTCAAAAGCTCAACTGCATCTCCCTCATGCATCGACACTTCACCATGCCCCATCGCACAATAATCAGCAAGAGCTGTGAAGCGGCCTCCACCCTGTAACATGCCAATGGTCAGGGGTGAGAGATGGGAAGATATCTGCACTGTGTGCAGAAATTGCAAATTTGAGAACACTGAGAAGATGATGCACTAATTTCAAATAAATAAAACAGATTTTAAAAAAAATCATATTGGATGGCATACTGTTATAATAAAAACAATGTTATCTGAAAACCAACAAAATATAACTACGTATACTGGACTTTACTTACCCTACATGTTTCTGCTCACTAAAGGCCATCATCAGGAGTATACACATTAAAGCTACAAAATACAATGATGCTTAACATAAGTGATAGTCTTTGTATGGTAGAATATGGTTAATAACATAATACACTTGAGGACAAATATAAACAGTAAGAAGCTTACAGAGTGTTAATATGTTCTTGGCAGTCTACAAGTTATATAATTTAAAAAGACAGTATTAGATGCATGTTCATGATGTGAGTTACTTCCTGTTCATCACACTCTTGAAGGTACGCAAGTCAACACTGAAGAAGACCCACATGTACACAGATAAACATGGGATGAGGATATGAGAACAAGATATGGTAACGATGGACTGATGCCAAAATCGATTAAAAGAGGCAAGTTCTTGGTAATAATTTTGACAGAATTGTGGAAACAGAGCTCCAACTGAGATGTCAACACACCTCGCTGTATTCGGTACAGGTGTCCTCATCCTCACTGTTGCTGTAATCTGAACTCCATCCGCCACCTTCACCCTCTTCCTCACTGTTCTCTGACACTGTGTGCTGTGGCAGAGGATGTAATGGATGCCTTACCGCAGTATCAGCATCTGCATTGAAGGCAGCCATGCTGTTTTGAACCCCTGTATGACTCTCCCAAGAAGTGGTCTGCTGGAGAGGCCTAGAAAAAGAGAGCAAAGCTGTAATAACAAAATAATGGTATTAAGTGGCAAGGTGGAAGGATACTCAACAGGGCAACATTCCAGCAATTCTCAACTGCCCAGTGAGGCAGGTTATAACAGTATTTCTATAAACAAATTTGCCTGATATTTATAAATTGGTTTGAAATTGTCAATAATTCAAGTACATATTAAGAAACAGCACAATCATACAAAGCATTTGATTTCATTTTGAACACCATCCTGCTTCATAGGAATATTTCCCTGCATACTATCACCTCACATAGGAAAGAGTTGCCATATACCTGTGAATCGGCTTGCCAGTGCCTGCCAGTGAGTACTGCCTAATCTTCTCTCCTTTCAGTTCAGCGAGTTGCTCTAACAGCACATGCTTGATTTCACACACCCACGCATCTTTCTGCTGCACTGTGAGGGCCTGAATTGTGTGTACCTCTTGACGACCTTGTAACCAGACCTCAAATTTGCGAGCATCGCCTTTCACAGATTCTGTGAGGCCAATCTGTGACATCTGACAGAGGAGATTTCTTATAAGTCATATGCCCCAACAAGTTACTTTCTGAGATCTGAGGGTCTAATGGCATGAAGATGTTCATTATGGTCTTCTAGATTGTAATGCCTTGTGATCTTATAGGTGGTTTATAAAACACACCTTCGGGATAATGTGAGTCATATTTTCCTCTAAAACACTGGTAACCACTTACAAGAGTACATGGCATCACAACCCAGAAGACCTCAATCCACAAGTAATTTTTTCCTTGTAGTTTGTTTTTTACGAGAGATGGTAGCAAATGACGGATGACCTGAATGAAGCTAATGTGAGTATATATGCATCCAAGCTAAAATGAAGTTAGAGAATATACATACATGCATTGACATATTCACAGTATAATGAAAGATCTTTTAACTACAGAGGTTATTTATTATTAAACGAGAAAAAATTTTTTTTAGCTACAGAGGTTATTTATTATTAAACGAGATGAGAGGATGCGTAAAAATTGTAGAATGAAGAGATGGGGAAAAGTATTGATTGTGGCCTAATTTCAGGCAATATACCTTTATTTCCTTGGAACCATGAATGACCTCAGTCAGAATAGTCAAAGCTGTGCCTGAGATTCAAAGTAGGCTTCAGTATCAGCCAAGTTTCACTGTTGTACCTACTACCTCAGTGTGTTCAGTTTTGGAGGGATCAAACAACATAAAAGTGATCACAGCCTATTTTAAGACACAATCTCAGCATCTGTGTGGAGGAAAATGGGGATAATAATAATAATAAAAACATAGAAATCTAATAACAGCTTCACAGCAATGAAGATACTGATGTCTTCACAACCCAGATGACCACCACCAACATATAGCAGGTTTCTAGGCTGTGATTTGGACATGTGAAGCCCCAAAAATTAACAGGAGTGGTAACCATCACAGTTATACGAGGTGCGATCGGAAAGTTTCAAGACTGTGTCAATAGAGGGCGAACCGGATGTAGTACGAGCTTCTGCCGCTAGGGGGTGCGGCCTACATTCATAGTGAATCAGTGTGCCAGCCGGCAT